GAAATTCATTAGGAACGTAAGCTCTACTCACACCATTGTAGAAAAATTCGACTACCAGTCCTTCATCACCATAAACGAAATAGGATGAAGATAACTCATAGCTGATTTACTAGTAGTCTCGAAAACCTACTAGCTTATGAGTCCCTAACACAAGGTAGACTTGCAAACCTGATTCAGTGTGGTTCGAAAGCAATGTAAAAGAAATAAGGCTATTTCGAATTCAATAAGCTGACCTCATTAGCAGATGCGTAAACTGCCAAAATACCGTTGGCATGATGCCAATCAGAAATCCTTAATACAGAAGAATAAATAAATTTGTGTTTGAATAAATGTATTAAAACTCCACAAGTTTCATCGGCAAAATAAACAGTATATCAAAGGAAATTCGAATATTACCTTGTATTGTGCAAAATTTAAGGATTAATCACCTGTAATTATTAAAATAAAAGTTAGCTCGATTACAATTTGCAATTTAATGCTGGGTGTTATTCTGATTTTCGAAAGTAAATAATTAATTAAAGCATCAGTTTCAAAATTGACCAATTTAGGAAAAATATAGTGTGTACAAAAAAGCAGAAAAGATGCATAAAATAAAGCGAAGTAAATCCGGGAAAAGATTATTGATCCTATTTAGAGCATATATAAAGATCAGGCAAAGTTACAAATAATATGGGAGGACTTAGATTGTGAGTCTGAACTAAAATGCGCATAGATTTATGTACATCAGCATGGAAGTGTACTGTTGCTGGGACGATAAAAGGCCGGCATAAAAGAAAAGAATCGAGCGTGAATGTGATCATCAAAAATACAGATAAAGCAATATAAATGACATTGATTTCAGGAAATGCCGGACATAAATAAAAAGCCGAGTAATGAGTAGCGAGTAAATGAGAGGTTTAGACGTAAAAAGTTTTAGTTTAGGAGTGGCATGAATAGAGAAAATTGAGAATGGATTGATTAAGATATACAGAGATATCAAAGTCAACAGACTCACTAGGAAATTTCATGAAAATGAGCTTCTAAAATGATGTGGCAACACAAAAGCAGGATAGAAGTATTGAAAATCAAATGCCTTCCGAGCTGTGTATGCACTTACCGGTTATGGATCACTTATGTAATGCCACGTATTTGAATTAAAAGCAAATATTCGAGAACACGTAAGATAGAAGAGGAATGATAAGCGTTAATTCGGGTCCGCTAGCCAAAATACTTTTGTAAGTCCCAAACTATTAGCCAATTTGATGTCGGTAAGCGGCCTCTACAGATCCAGCACGTCCAGAGATATTGTTTGTAGTCCCCATCATCATCATGGCCGTCGAAGGGCTACTAAGCTTGCTTTTATGCGGACTTAATGTACTTCCGGCACCAGGCCTACTGCTAGGACTCCCACTGTCGCCACCATACTCATTAGTGCCGATGATTAACATTTCAGTTTGTGAGTTGGCTAGCATCGGCTGCATGGCGAGGTAGTCAACGCTGGTCATTCGGCCAACTCCAGGCTGATCAAGCTTGGTGATGAGACGCCGGTAATGGTTAACTTCTGTAAGATACTCCAGACGAACCACAGAGTTGGTCAAACAGGCGGAAAAGGTGGTCTTGCAAATGAAAATCCAGAAAGTATAGGCTTAGAGATAAGTTTGAGATTAGAAAAAGATGAGAAATAAGGGAAATACAAAGGTTTGTTGGAGGCCAGAGCAAAGCAATATAAATATAAATATTGAGAAAATAAAAGTAATAAATGGAAAGTATGGGGTGGAGGAAGGGCAAGTTGATTGAAATAAAAGACTAAGTCAATGAGTAAAAAATAAGATAAACGGTCAATCTTGTCATTTGATCTTTATTGACTGTTGTAAACGTAATAGCATTCCTCTTCGTTCTTGCAATTTAATGAGAAAACATCACTCCGATAAGGCAAATGTTATATTATATTAAGCTTCTTTGCAAAATTTATATGAGACATATGACAGAGGGGAAAATTATTTAAGTTTTAAGATATTAAACCTAGACTAAGGCATGATTTGAGTCAGATTCTTACCTCAGATGATTTCCTAAAACTACAGAAGATGACAAGCAAAATGTTGAAAAGGATCTCGGACTTAAACAAAAAAGGCACCAGAAAAAACGGAATAAATATTGGATCTATAGTCAGCTTAAGAACCAACCACTCGACAAAAACAAATATGATTCTAGAATGACGGATCTCACAGCCCATACAAGATATGAAGATAGAGTAGTGAATCTGTCCTCCTGACCTGGAAGCCATAAAGATCCTCAGGAAGGTCATAAATTTCGCACTTCGGAATGAGTGGAGGGCAATCAAGGACATTTTAGTGGTGATAAATACCACTGAGAAGCTACCTGAATAATCAAAAAGAGAGGTTACTATGGAAATCACCCGAACAATCTGGGCGCACCAAACACCCACGGAAAGGAACAATATAAACAAGATATATAGAGAATTGAGAACAAACTATCAAATAGTATTACAAGCTGACAAAGGAGATGCCACAGTAGTGATGGAAAGGAGAAAATTGAAAATATTCTCGGGCACACTGCAACTTATGGACTGCTAGCAAAAGAACCAACAGTGAAAATCTTAGAGGCACTGCAAGAATGCTGAAGGAAATGAATATAAATGGGTAAATCGACAAATGGATAATTAATTTACTCCTACGAAATAATACAAGAGTCCCAATAGCATAGTGTTTGCCAGAGGCACACAAAGGAAAATCATTGAGACTGATAGTCACTAACAAACACGAACCAACACCTAAATTGGCGAAACTTATTTGCTTCAAATTAAACAAAGTTAACGACCGATTATCAAATGCAGTGAAGAACTAATAAGAAAATGGCCAAAGATTAAAGGCACGAGTTTGGAAAGAAACGAACTTTTGGTGAGTTTTGATGCACAGTCCATGTACACTAAAATCAAAGT